GGCCCACACGCTACTCACTGGCCCACACGCCACTATGGTCACTCACTGGCCCACACGCCACTATGGCCACTCACTGGCCCACACGCCACTATGGTCACTCACTGGCCCACACACCACTATGGTCACTCACTGGCCCACACGCCACTATGGCCACTCACTGGCCCACACGCCACTATGGTCACTCACTGGCCCACACGCCACTATGGCCACTCACTGGCCCACACGCCACTCACTGGCCCACACGCCACTCACTGGCCCACACGCCACTCACTGGCCCACACGCCACTATGGTCACTCACTGGCCCACACGCCACTATGGCCACTCACTGGCCCACACGCCACTATGGCCACTCACTGGCCCACACGCCACTCACTGGCCCACACGCCACTATGGTCACTCACTGGCCCACACGCCACTATGGCCACTCACTGGCCCACACGCCACTATGGCCACTCACTGGCCCACACGCCACTATGGTCACTCACTGGCCCACACGCCACTATGACCACCCTCTGGCCCACACGCCACTCACTGGCCCACACGCCACTATGGCCACTCACTGGCCCACACGCCACTATGGTCACTCACTGGCCCACACGCCACTATGGCCACTCACTGGCCCACACGCCACTCACTGGCCCACACGCCACTATTCCCACTCACTGGCCCACACGCCACTATGGTCACTCACTGGCCCACACGCCACTATGGCCACTCACTGGCCCACACGCCACTATGGTCACTCACTGGCCCACACGCCACTATGGCCACTCACTGGCCCACACGCCACTATGGCCACTCACTGGCCCACACGCCACTATGGTCACTCACTGGCCCACACGCCACTATGGTCACTCACTGGCCCACACGCCACTATGGCCACTCACTGGCCCACACGCCACTATGGCCACTCACTGGCCCACACGCCACTATGACCACTCACTGGCCCACACGCCACTCACTAGCCCACACGCCACAATGGCCACTCACTGGCCCACACGCTACTATGGCCACTCACTGGCCCACACGCCACTATTGTCACTCACTGGCCCACACGCCACTATGGCCACTCACTGGCCCACACGCCACTATGGCCACTCACTGGCCCACACGCCACTATGGCCACTCACTGGCCCACACGCCACTATGGTCACTCACTCACTGGCCTCACACGCCACTATGGCCACTCACTGGCCCACACGCCACTATGGCCACTCACTCACTGGCCCACACGCCACTATGGTCACTCACTGGCCCACACGCCACTATGGTCACTCACTGGCCCACACGCCACTATGGCCACTCACTGGCCCACACGCCACTATGGCCACTCACTGGCCCACACGCCACTATGGCCACTCACTGGCCCACACGCCACTATGGCCACTCACTGGCCCACACGCCACTATGGCCACTCACTGGCCCACACGCCACTATGGCCACTCACTGGCCCACACGCCACTATGGTCACTCACTGGCCCACACGCCACTATGGTCACTCACTGGCCCACACGCCACTATGGCCACTCACTGGCCCACACGCCACTATGGCCACTCACTGGCCCACACGCCACTATGGTCACTCACTGGCCCACACGCCACTATGGTCACTCACTGGCCCACACGCCACTATGGCCACTCACTGGCCCACACGCCACTATGGCCACTCACTGGCCCACACGCCACTATGGGCCACACGCCACTATGGTCACTCACTGGCCCACACGCCACTATGGTCACTCACTGGCCCACACGCCACTATGGTCCACTCACTGGCCCACACGCCACTATGGCCACTCACTGGCCCACACGCCACTATGGTCACTGGCCCACACGCCACTATGGTCACTCACTGGCCCACACGCCACTATGGCCACTCACTGGCCCACACGCCACTATGGTCACTCACTGGCCCACACGCCACTATGGTCACTCACTCACTATGGCCACACGCCACTATGGCACTCACTGGCCCACACGCCACTATGGTCACTCACTGGCCCACACGCCACTATGGTCACTCACTGGCCCACACGCCACTATGGTCACTCACTGGCCCACACGCCACTATGGCCACTCACTGGCCCACACGCCACTATGGTCACTCACTGGCCCACACGCCACTATGGTCACTCACTGGCCCACACGCCACTATGGTCACTCACTGGCCCACACGCCACTATGGTCACTCACTGGCCCACACGCCACTATGGTCACTCACTGGCCCACACGCCACTATGGTCACTCACTGGGCCCACACGCCACTATGGTCACTCACTGGGCCACACGCCACTATGGTCACTCACTGGGCCACACGCCACTATGGTCACTCACTGGGCCACACGCCACTATGGTCACTCACTGGGCCACACGCCACTATGGTCACTCACTGGGCCACACGCCACTATGGTCACTCACTGGGCCACACGCCACTATGGTCACTCACTGGGCCACACGCCACTATGGTCACTCACTGGGCCACACGCCACTATGGTCACTCACTGGGCCACACGCCACTATGGTCACTCACTGGGCCACACGCCACTATGGTCACTCACTGGGCCACACGCCACTATGGTCACTCACTGGCCCACACGCCACTATGGTCACTCACTGGGCCACACGCCACTATGGTCACTCACTGGGCCACACACTCACTGGGCCACTATGGTCACTCACTGGGCCACACGCCACTATGGTCACTCACTGGGCCACACGCCACTATGGTCACTCACTGGGCCACACGCCACTATGGTCACTCACTGGGCCACACGCCACTATGGTCACTCACTGGGCCACACGCCACTATGGTCACTCACTGGGCCACACGCCACTATGGTCACTCACTGGCCCACACGCCACTATGGCCATCTTACAACTGCATTAATGTTTGTTTATGGTATAGTATTGCTCTAAATTAGCTTATAGGTAATATATTGTCACATTTAACATTAATGCATATAGAAAACTTGTAGTTTTTATCATAATATTTATTACCCATTTGGGTATTCAAAATTAACAAATTCCTTTGGTAGACTTCACGTTCTATATGAATAGCTTTAGTTGTTATGTTTTTATTAATATTAATCACAAGGATCATAAAAGTTTATATAAATATTAAAATTTGGCTAAGGTATAGTAATATCTGTTGTTGCATGTTTTACTGCTTCAATTAAGAAAAATTGTGAAAGGTATTTATATCAATATAAAGTTAAAAAGTAAATAATATTCATATATTTAATGTTTAATTGAAATGACATTCTATTTTAAATTTTACTTGCATGTTGTCTGTTAGCATAGATTTTTTACGGTACTGTGTATTAGAATTTAAAAATGATTATAAATGAAAAAAATATATAATATTGCATACTGTAGTTTGTGATTCCAAATGAATCTTTGAAGTAATTTGTATTATATTAAATAGATATGGTTATATTTTATATAGTTTACCCTCTCATAATTTGTTTTTGTTTTTCCAGACTCCCTCATTGAAGTGGGAGTAACTGAGCTATTCCCTTTATGTTGTTGCTCTGGAATGATGCATTAATTTAATAATAATAATAATAATTCAATGCGACGGAGAGTCATGTATATTCCATCTCATGTTGGCCTGCGAATGCATGATAGAGCTGAAGAGTTAGCTAAAGAATCTGCCTTTGAAGGAGAAATTAAATGTAACCTTGGATTGTCTGTAAGCAGTATGGGAGCAATTCTTTTTTGTTTTAAACAAAACTTAGGAATACACAGCAATGTGCTGCTACCTTATTCTATATAAAAGACTACACAGTGAAGATCACATTCAGAGCGCTTTACTCTAGGAGGTCAGACTCCCACACTAAACCTGGTGCATTATACCATGGAGAGACGGGAGGCCTCTTAAGCAAAGTGCATTAACCCTCTGGTACTAAGTCTGTGTACTATGATCTACCGGATCAAGCAGCGATACAGAGGGGGACCGGACCCTTACCCGGTCAGAGATCATGCACTTGATCAATACAACAACTCCTGTTGCACCACTGGACATCGTCAACGACGGAGGACCTCAGCTGCTGTTCAGCAGTGTCGCAGCATTACAGGATCTGTTCAACCCCCACCATCCTCGCTGCTCTTGAGGAGGCGCACATGATCCTCACCCCTCCACGTCACTACCTAGCAGCCAGGATGGTGTTTGTTCAGAGAGTGAGCTCCCTATACTCTCTGAAAAAGCTGCCACCGACGTCGTCACCAGCATTAACGAGCAGAACCCTTCCTTGATCACTGTCACTGTTAAGTTCATTCCTGTAAACGACAGCCACCTCTCCGCCATGAAGGTCACCCATGTCTTGCTATTTTCAAACAATACTGTTCGTTGACCAACTTATATAAGTGCTCGAGTGCATGGGGGAGTTGTGTAAAACCCTGGTTTGTGTCTCAGAGAGGCTGCAGGATGAAGTAAGTTCAGTAGAACTTCGGTTTCAACTCTTTTGACCATGTTGTAGCTCAGTCGATTAAGGCAGCGTCTGGGATGCTCTTGGACGCAGGTTCGAATCCTCGTCACGGCCCTTGTGGATTTGTTCATCTAATAATGGCTTCATTGGAACTCTTTTTGAAATGGAAGCCAAACTGGCAGGGACTTAATATATGCTTTCCCAAAGTAGGAATAGAGCTGTTTGCATTTTTTTTTTTTATAAATATGTTTGAAAAAATGCTTATAGCTAGTAAAAAGATGAACTTATAGCTAGTTTTATATCTACATTGTGTAATCGTTCATACAGAATAAGGTAGCAGCACATTGCTGTATTTACCTGAGCTTGTTAATGATAATAATAAAAAAGAAAACCAGGTAAGGAGAGGTGCGGGGGCAAGAGAGTGTGGCGCTGAGCATAAAGATAATAATAATAATAATAATAATAATTTTTATTTAGGCAAAGGTACATACATAAAGAGATTTTACAAAGTTTGTTGGCTTTATAGATAAGAGCTAGTACATACAATGCCTAAAGCCACTATTACGCAAAGCGTTTCGGGCAGCTAAAGATATTAGTGTCGTAGTCCGCCATGACGCAAACCAAAACACAGCTCCTCAAGACCTTACTCCAACTCCCTAATAGTGGCCAGGATGCTGAGCTGCTGCTTCACCACATTGTTCCCAGTGAGGAATTATGTGATTTGTGTCGTTGTGACGTGTGCCTAGGACATGCGGCTAGGACGGGCTAGGACATGCGGCTAGGACTGGGGCTAGGACTGGGGCTAGGACTGGGGCTAGGACATGTGGCTAGGACTGGGGCTAGGACATGCGGCTAGGACATGGGGCTAGGAATGGGGCTAGGACATGTGGCTAGGACTGGGGCTAGGACATGCGGCTAGGACATGTGGCTAGGACTGGGGCTAGGACATGCGGCTAGGACATGTGGCTAGGACATGTGGCTAGGACTGGGGCTAGGACATGTGGCTAGGACATGGGGCTAGGACATGTGGCTAGGACATGTGGCTAGGACAGGGGCTAGGACATGTGGCTAGGACATGTGGCTAGGACAGGGGCTAGGACATGTGGCTATGACAGGGGCTAGGACTGGTGCTCTTGCCATACCCGGGGCTGTTTGGGACAGGGGGGGGTGGGGTGGGGGGGAATATCCTATTGTCAGATTATAATTATTAATAATTCATTGTGTCGGGGAACATGAAGCCAGTTTATACATACAGTACATGTTAGGCTTATATTGAGGTTCCTCTCTCCACCCTTAGGGTCACTGACCCTTCCCAGGATGCAACCCCATAACAAGCTCAGTGCCTTTTACTGCTAGGTAAATAGGCATGAGGGCATAGACAGGGGGCAGGAGGTCATTGGAAATGCGCCTAACCATTTCTTTTCCCCTCGGGATTCAAACCCAGAAGTCTTCATTGTGTGTCAAGAACGAACACGACTGTGTAGCGAGTACATTACAAACGACTGTATTTAGCGAGTATATTCAAACAAAACTCATTGTTTACTCGCTGCAACTGTACTATCAGGACCCTTTGTATACAAGACACTTCGACAAAATTAATTTTCTGATTGGATTCCATCTCGTGTTGTCCTCCGAATGCATGATTTTGTTTTATTTATATATGCAAGAGTTCTTACATTCTTGTACAACCACTAGTACGTGTAGCTTTAATCCCATGTTCCCTGGAATACCCCCCCCCCCCCCCCGAAAAATCGTTTAACAACCAAGTACCCAAGGCTACAGTTAAGGATTTGCGCCCAGTAAATCCTCCCCGGCCAGGATACGAACCCAGGACAAAGCTCTCGCGAAACGCCAGATGAACGTCTTACCCCTACACCACGGGGACACCATGATTGAGCTGATGAGCTAGCCAAAGAATCTGCCTTCAAAGGAGGAGTTAATTATAACCCTGGATTGCCAATAAGCAGTCTGAGAGTAATAGTACTCCAAGAACTTCAACAAAATCTTGTTGATCTGAGGCAACGGGAAATCGACACCAGTAATTCCATCTATCATCATACTATTATCCAATAAACTTCTAGATGTTACTACTGCTCGGTTTAAACTCGGTTACAAGTATCTCTGGGAATTCTCATTATCAGCTGACGTAGACCTAACCAAATGTAAACTGTGTCAACAAAATTATTACCACACCCTCTGTCACTATGTGATGGTGTGCAAAAATATATGAGTTTAGAGACAATTCTATTACGAATGTTAAAAAAATGTAATGGTTTCATTTACATTAATCTATATACAGTAATACCAGAAATTTTAGCGAAGGATCCCCAGTTTGGTAACTGTAGGTAGTGAGTGGTTTTTAACCTATCCACCGCTGCCCACTGGATGGGGGGCGGTGTGCAGGATAAATATCAATTGTGACTAGCAAACCACATATGTAAGTTGCATAGCTTAAAGACTGTACTGGTCAGGCTCTACCCCATTGATGATAAAAATATATAGATACATTAAATATGGTAACTAGATTATCAAGAGAGTAACTTGCTTAGGTAAATGAGTTTTGGGGTTCAGTCCCCTGAGCCCATTATGTGCCTCGGTAACTCTTTCTACCACTTCCCACACGATGGCTATGGGTTGTATAACAAATGAACTAAATTAAACTGATTGTCAAACTGTTTATATCATTGGGTCAGGGTGTATTAGCTCTGGTTAGGCTGTTTTATGATAGGGTTGGGTTAGGTTAGTTAGGTTTTTAGTAAGCATTGGGGAACCAACTTGTGTCTGATGTTACTTCTAAATTTACCCCAAGGCCACCGTCTGTCTAGTGGCCTCGACAGGGACAAGAAGCCAGCAGCTTGCCAAAGGTCGCATCCTCTCATTTTTCCTTAGAATTTTCTTCAACTTGATTTTGAACTGCAGCAGTGTTTTGGCATTGATCGACTCAGCAAGCAGGTTGTTCCGTGGGTTCATAACCCTATGGGTGAAAAAGCATCTTCTCTTTTCTGCCCTACATTGTGGCTGTGGCGCCACACGCCAGCTCATCTCACTTTAGTAAATGTGAACCTTAATTATTATATAATTAATTATGTATGTATGCACCAAAATAGTCAAAATGATTAACAAATAATTAGTAATTGAAAGAAGAGTTCAAGATGCTGTAATGCAATAGTTTGTCGTTGAGTCACAGGCGAGTAGTCTGGATTTGAATCCTGGCGGGACACAGATGGTTGGGCACATTTCATTTCACCTCATGCCTCTGTTCACCTCGTAGTGAATTAAGTATCCAGGCAAGTATGACTAGTATTGGGGTTTGCATCTTGGGGACGGTAACTAGTTAGCCTAGGGAGAGGCGGGGGGGGGGGGGACCTCGGTAAGCCTGACAAGCTTCCTATTTTTGATTGTGGGAAGCCAAGCCCAACAACATTGAAAGATGAGGTACTGTATAGTCAAAGGGTATACCGGGAATGAGCAGAAACATGCACCAGAAGCCCAGGGAGAACACCCAAGTGATTGCCATGAAAACGAGACGGACCTGGGACAAAGGTCAAGCGGAACGAACAAACGAACAAGCAAGCATTTCTATAAAGCTTATTTTCTAATTGTTAAAAACCTATGCACTGTATACTGTTAGGTTAGGCTTTGTTGGAGGTGAAGTTTGGTTAGGTTAGGTTAGGTTTTGTTAGGTAAGGTAAGGTTTCTGGGGGGTGAGCCCCGTCGGCTCCCCGTCGGCTCCCCGGAGCTATCCCAGGCTGATATGCTAATGTCAGACTTTGGCATCAGTCATGTGTATGGAGTTCTTAGGCCTACCGGGGACCACGGCCAGAACCGGGCCCCCTCAGAGAGGCAAGGGGAGCAATGGCCTATAGAAGCCCCTGTGTAGTTGGAAGCATTCTATGTCTGCCATCGACCGGAACAGGCACCCAGAAAGGTAAGCGCCCCAAAACAAACCCCTATTCTGGTTAAAATTGCTACCTAATACCGAACTAGTGGATAGAACTCCCCAACCGAAAACAAGCAAATTAGTGTGACGTCACACACTGCCGCGCCGCTGTCTGCGCAGCTCCCCCCTCCCCGGGAGGGGGAAGGGGGAGCCCCAGACCCCCCGCGCCGGCTACCCACACCTCAGTTCTTAAGGCTGATGCTATAGGCGATGGTCGTGTGCTCTGGCTCCGGTGTCGCTACTGCACTGTGCTTTGAGTGTGGTGTTAGTTTTGTGGGTGCGAGAGCCAGGAGTTATCTTCAGTACTCGGGCTGCATGCGCCTAGGGCTGCCTTCCCTAGGTGCCCTGTAAGTACTGCCCTTGGGGCTTGGGGCCACCTTCCACAGGCTCCTCGGGGTCTGCCTCTGCTGGTCCGTTTTACCTTTCGGTTTTTCGGCCGCCTGTTGGGCTCTTGGGTGTTCTGTTCTCCCTTGTTACCGGCAGGTAAGAGGCAGTTTGCACTGGTAGGGGCGCAGGGTGCTGCTCAGCTTGTAATTCCCGACATCGCGGCCGGCTCTGTTCCTTGGGGTTCGCTGTCCTCTTGCGGGGTTTTGTTTTTCTTTTTGTTTTTGCCTGGTGGGGGGTTCTGTCATTTTATTCAGTTTGTTTTTGCCCTTCCACTGTTCTCCTCGGTGGCGCCCCCTGCTAGGTCCCCGTGAGTGTACACGTCCCTGGGGTTCAGCTTTAGAAGTTTGCTTGGTAGTTTTGGGCGCCGGTTTGCAGCACCCTGCCTGGGACTACCTGAGCGCGAGTCCTCTTAAAGTAAACGCTCAGGACCCTGGGAATCCCCTAGGGGGCGCGTGGGTCCGATGGATGTGACCCCGGGGTCCCCACTCGCTGTGTGCGAGTTTGAGGGTTGCTCGGTCCCCTTGTCTCAGGGTGACCCTCATTGTTTTTGCCTCTGCCACGCTGCCTGTTGGGTCGGTGATACTTTCGACCCTGAGTCCTGTGAGTGTTGCTGCTTGCTTGTGACTCAATTTACCCAATCCTCTGATGATTCTATTCGGGTACAGGCGGCACGTGCGTTGCAGTCTAGGTTTCGTCTGTTGCAACGCGCTCGGTTGGTTGCTTCCCCGGATGCCCCGGGGCTGCCCCGCTTTGCTTTTCGAGACCCGGACTTGGGGGTGGGGGTCGCTTCGATCCTGGTTCAGTCCGCACCTCCTCGTCCTTCCCCTTCTGTTCGTTCTGGTCCCCCGCCCCTGCTTCCGGCCCCGAAGCGTCTGAGGGTTTCGGGGTCGGAGCAGGGGTTACTTGATCTCGAGACTCGGGCAGCTTCGGGGGTTGCCCCTTCCGGGGGGGCGGCAGAGGCATTCGAGTCTTGTCTCCCGGCCGAAGCTTCAGGGTCTGACCAGTGGGCCCCCCTTCCTCCAGCTTTTCCGGCTGCTCCGTCCTTGTCTTGTGGGGTCGGGGCTTGGGGAGAGGACTCGGCCTCGGGTCCTGTGGTGACGGACCTCGAGGCTGGGGAGGGGCTGACTTGGGGGCCTTGGGCCCCGCTGGACCCCGCCTGGGTTTTTCTTCCCACTGAGCGGGGCTTATTGTTACAAGGAGTGGGGTTTTCTTTCCCCCCCTCTGCGTACGAGTTGGATTTGGTGTCGGCCCCTCCCCGGGTACGGTTCCGTGTTCCCCCGGGTACGTCGGTTCCGTCCTTCCGGAGGTTTTCGGCTTATCGCATCCAACCTGGTGTGGTGCGAGCGGCCTTTGCAGCTTACCTCCTGCGTGACCCGG